ACGCGATGAACGATATTGATGTTAAACTTGAATATTCCTAACTAATAAAGAAGCAATATTTTTCACGTGCTAACGAAAAAAAAAAAAGAAAAAAAAATGTCATTGTGTGTGTGTCAGACGGTAGCGAACGCGAAAGCAACGCGAAAAAGTTACGCGAAAGGACTTTTTACGAGATCTTGCAGTTATATGGACGCGAGCTTTTCAAGTTCTCCACGGTTTTGCTCTCATTTTTCCAGAACGGAGTCGACAGAGTGCGAGGGAGTGTCGTGCACGAAAGAAGCTAAGGTATCAATATCTTGAGGAACTGGTGGCCGATCGCGAGAAGGCTGTGCTGGCACTTCGAAGAGAGCTGGAAATGGTAAGTCCCGCCGTGTGAAAACGTCTGCCTCTTATCTCTTATCCTCTATCGTCTTATTCCTCCCGACGATCCCTTTTCCCACCGCGATATCCCGTGGCCGGTTCCCTACGCAACCGCGCAACCCGGATAATAAATCTTTTCCGCCGCGGGAAAGAGTCTTCCCTTCGCGGTTTGCCAAGTGAGTTATACACCTATTATTCCGGCGGGCCGCGTCACGCCGTGGATGTTTTGAAAGTCGTACGTGTTCCCGATTATGCAATCGTCGGGTCGTTTTATCCGACTTTCGTTCGGCAAAGAGTTACAGCTGTCCTAGAACCGCCGCGGAGCGTTGCGTTTGTATTTCCCGCGTGCGTTAATATCGTAAATTCCTCGGGCGAGGCAGGAAGAAGAGGAAGAAGAAGAAGAAGAAGAAGAAGAAAAAGGAGAAGGAGAGAACACCGGAGGAGGACGCAAAGTTTTTCCAAAGAACCATAAACATGTCAGCCTTCTACTTTTCTTCGTCTTTTTTTTTTTTCTTCTTTTTTTTTCCCGGCCGAGTAATGGGCGTCCCGAAGTTTCCAGAATTAGTTCTGCTATACCTAGACGACGACGGTAGATCGGTGCAGGCATTGGAAAATCCCGCAATCTCTCCCCTAGTTGCTCGCTAACCGTTAACTACTCTAGGTATGAATGGCTAATGCCGTTTTGATACGTCGTTACTTGGAAAAATAACGCGAAAATAACGCCTTTTAAAAAACGTGAGTAACGCGAAGATTCTCACGATCGAGTATCAAGCGAATCAAATCCGATAAGAGCTTTAAAGGTACGTACGCTTCAAAATGTGTGATCATCGATTAGGTGGAACAACAACGACCGCCGTAAGCTTTTCACGTTTTAAGCCTTTTCTCTTGCAGTTGTATAGAAAAAGATCCTTCCCTTTGCGTTTATCCCGCACGTACGTCAGATCCACCATAGAAGAACGATTTGTCGAGCGAATCGAAGAGGAGAGAGAGAGAGAGAGAGAGAGAGAGAGAGAAAGAGAAAGAGAGCCTTTCCCGCACACATCATCGTCTATCCATCCTCGAACCTTTTCACCGAGCTCCCTTAAAGTTCCCGAGGACTGTTTGAGTATAAGAAACGACGTTCGATCGCGTGTCAGCTGAAGGCTCGTGTAACCGCTATCCGTTATTTTCCTTTCAGTATCGGCAGTGGGGACAGGAATTAGACGCCGGACGAGTTCCCGAAGGGCTACAAGCGATGCTGGAAGAGCTTGGCTCTCTGAAACGGGAGAAAGTGGTCAACTAAACGAGCAAGAAAGATAGAAAGAGAAACACGAACACAGTCAGGAACATCGAGCTCTTCTCGAGATTTTCTCTTTTTTCTTTTTTCTTCTTTTTTTTTTTTTACCTCTCTCTTTTGTTTTCCTCCTTTCCGCTCCTGTCCATTTCATCGCGGCAGTCGAACTCCCTCTTCCTCGTATTTCTGGTTATTCTTTTCGGATCGAGGAGAATCCGCGCCAAAGAATTCAGATTCTTTTCAACGGCTCGCCTTCGAGTTCCGCCCTTCGCGTTTCAACGCGGGGTGGAACCCGAACCCGAACCCGAGGAAAAGAAGGAGAGAAATTCTATCTCTACCCCGTCTCCAGACTTACGATCCTGTCCCACTTTTACTTATTGTTAGTCGCCCTGTTTCTCTCCTTTTTCTTCGAAAGAGAAACTGCCTCGGCCAACTGCCGTTGTTTCTCTGAATGCGTTTCTAACGCGTTCATTGCGTTTATCGCGTGTCACTCTACTCTTGTTGAACCCCCTCCTCACGAAAGAAGAATCTTTCACGCGCACGTGTTATTTGTTATTTCTGATCGATTTTTGTTGACAATTTATCTTATCGTTTTTCCTCTCGGTTATGTCGTTGATGTAAGAAAATCAGAGCCGGCCGTGGAACCGAGCCGGTGCTCGTTGTGCCCCCAAAAAGTACCTAAACGAAGTACCTTTTCTAACGATTGTTAAGAAGACAGAATGAAAAGAACACTTATGTAATTATGTATATCGTTGTTACGCGTCGACGATGAACGGCTGTTCTGTATCATAAATGGAAGAAAGAAGGTGATATGATATATTCGCTTACTCTGTTGTATGTTATATATATATATTTGTAGTAGGTGTACTCGTTGAGCGATTTAGACTTTGTTTCTTTTTTAAATTACTATTGCTAGGGTACTATTGGTTTTTGATGAAACAGCCGTTTGTTCGCGGCCGACGAATTAAGATTATCTGTATGGAAATGGTATTTTTATACTGTACTGTATAAAAAGCTATTATTTTGTACAGATTATTGATATTGT